GCAGGGGAGGAAGATAAAATAGAAGTTTCATAAAAGAACAGTAGTCAATGAGAATCCAAGTAGAGGGATACAGTCATCATACACCTCAGTTCAAAAATAAAACACATACGGAACTGTCTACTCTCTCATTTAAGATGCACAGTGGGATTTCAGCTGGGTCAAGCAGGGCTTTACATTCTGTGCCAGATTTAGTTTGGGTTCTAATCTTAGAGCCTGAACGTTAGTCCCATTATTGCTTTGCCAAACCAAGATTTCAGCAGATGACTTTGATAGCTTCAAGAATGCTACCTGCTATTCTTCAATCTGAAAATCAAAAGGTGTGTGTATTCCCTCTACCGGCTCTGTAGCAATTAACTGACATACTCGGTTCCCAGTACTGTGCTCTCAAAAGAGAGGATGCTGGGGTACAAACGTTTTGGTATGACAAGTTGCTTAGAGCCCTGCACATATATAAAATTTGTATCCACATCCAATCCGAGTTCTGCAAACATGGTCCAGATGCGGATATCCATATATTCGCAGGGCTTTAAAGATGCTTACATAAGTTGTTTTTTTATTTAGTGGCAGCAATATGCTTAATTCCAGCTTTGTTTAAAAATACGAGCAAGGGAAAAGCCAGAGCTGACAAGAAAAAAAGGCAAACTAAAAATATTTTCAAACTTTTTGAAGGTTAGCGTTAAACATTAAAAATGGACTTGCCCTTTCAGAGACTCTTTGGGGAATCACCACTCTTTGTAATTGCTTATATTTTGATGGACTCTTCATCTTTAATCATACATGCTGAACTACTAACTTCTGCCTTCATTATGAAGGCTAAAAACTATTTTCCACAAGGACATTCATATGCATTTATTATAAAAATCTTTTAAAAAAAAAAAGTATTAAATTTAGTGCTCATGGAAAGTGCCCAATTGACAATACTAGAAATCAAAGCCTTCTAATTCAAACACAGACCTGGCATAGCACGGGCAGTAGTAATGCAAGCTTTTCACATACTGCTCTGTTAATACACAGTAACTCTGACTTGGAAAGATCCTCTAGTGCAAAACAGTTCAGGTTCCACAGGCCATTTAGTCCTTTGCTTCTCTGCTGAACCTACCCACACGTGGGTGTAGTGAAACGTAAGTATATATTAAAAAAACCCAAAAGCTTAGACTACAAGTACAGTCCTCCTTTTATATTACATTCTGCTTGTTCAAATATAAAATGTCACAAAATTAGAAGTATACTATGTATAGAATACCTTTAATCTGCCTACTCATTCTAGACTAACAGATACTTTCATCCCACAATAACTTGGTGCTGTCGCACTATATTTCTAGTGTTAGAAGTTGCACAAAATGTTTTATTAAAGAGAGAATGTCAAGGCAGATAGGCACAGAAAAACCTACCAGCTGTGTTTTGGTTTACAGAAATATGCAAGTCATGCTGCCCAGCTGCGCCAACTTGTGAGAAAACTAGGTAGGAAACATACAAGTATGTTGCCTGCAGGAAGACAAGATTCTTGTATTTTTCATACCTTGCCTGCTCATAAGAACTGAGTGCACAGGCACAAGCAGCAAACTACCAAGAGCAACCTGCATTATCATGAATTCATCACCACCTGTTTGTCATTAATGATAACCCAGTTGCACAGCAGAGACCGATCAAGTTTGTCTAAGATGCAGCCTTCTTTAGAAGAGCTGATAAGATTTTTCAGGATCAGGAGAATAGTAGATGTGTATTTTGTTTTGTTTATTTTTAAGTAGCATTTTGACAGTAGGTTAAGATTTGGGCCAGAAACAATCATCACATCCCTATAATGAAACAAGTCTCACTTTGATACTGTAATTTTTTTTTTAAGTGACTTCTGGAACATTTGAGATGGAAAATGAGAGAAGTATAATTCCATTTATCTAAAAATCTTCTTTGGCATAAAGAACTCACAGATAAGGTGGGGATAAGAAAGATCAGAAAGGAAAAGGGATTCAAAAAATGAGAAGTTACTCAGCACTCCACCACAATGCCCAAATTGAGCAGGCATTGAGTTTGTATTTGTTTTCAAAGACAACTCTCTCATTCTCTCTCTGGTTCATAGGGCTGAGGATTTCAGTAGCACCAACACGTGGCTATTACGGTTTTTAATGTTTTTTTTATTTGGATAGCTTCACTGGGACATTTTACTTCCCAATTAGACTTTTCATATAAAAGTGAAAGTTAAACAGAAGCATATAAGCACTGCTGAATGACAAGCATATGAGCCTGTATTCTTCTTATAGCATCTTCCATCCCCCAAAGCACTTCATGCATTTTACTAACTGTGCAAGTTATATAGTTCACAATAACACCACACAACAGTTTAGGGCAGGAAATAAAGAACATGTATCCAATTGAAACTACAGTTAATTTTTTGTGCATGAAAAACAGAGTTTAGACAGGACATATAAGTTAACACTCTGATTCTTAGTGTGAAATGACCACGTCAATGCAAACACGAAGATCCCACTGCACCATGACCTACAGAATCTGCCAAAGACAAGATTAAAATCCCACAACCCTCTGTGGAACCGCATCAAGACCCTTACACCAAACTTCGACGCTGAGGCTCAATGGAGAGTCACATGGAGCGTTTCGATCACTCAAAACAAACAGCTTCTCATTGACCCTGCCAAGGAACCACTAGGTTTTGATTTATGTCAGAAAGACTGGTGCAGATTGACTCGCATCAGGACATCTCATGGGAGACGTGGACAAACCCTCTTTAAATGGAAAATGAGGCAAACAGCTGTATGCGACTTTGGTCACCAGGCACAAACGATGGAGCACATCACGTCTGAGAGTTCCCTTCATTCTTTCGCCAGGGGCCTGAAGGACTTCAGCACATTGCTGCAGCAGTGTGCTGGTGGCTATCAAACCTAGATATAAATGTGTAGTCGTTGCTAAGTACCCAAGCCGTACGAAAGAAAAAGTGTGCAATGGAGTCATTAATAAGCACAGAGAAGTCTCTTACGTAAACTGGAACCTCTAGTATCTCAGATCCAGCTGAAGTTTCACCAGATCCAGAGGATAAAATGGGGCTACATCCGCGCCCACAATGTCCCCTGGACCCAGAACTGCGTATGGACAATAGGAACCATGCAGTGCCTCCCTTCTCATCAGCCAACTGGCCTTTGGGGAAAAACTGCAGGGAGGAGCCAGCCAGAAACTAAAGTAGACAAAGAAGATACAGAAACAGTTTAAGCAGGATATTTTCTACAGTTTTGACTGGACTTGGTCTTACCTGTGCTGGTTGGATGTTTGCTCCAACCTCCTCCTGCCTAGTCTCTTTACCTCAGCTTCACTCCACCTTAACCCCCTTCCTTGCCTTCTTGTCCCATGCACCCTCCCTGTTTAGCCAATACCCTAACACCCCTTTCCCCTCCAAAAACACTGTGGAACTAACATAACTGCTGCCATCATTTTGATCATTCTACTTGAACATTACATTATATCCCTTTCCACTACCCTTTGTCTATCTTGTCTATTTAGACTAAATTATTCAGGGCAGGGATTGGTACAGTTGGGGCCCCAATCTTGGTTCGTCGTTAGGTACTACTGTAATGCACATGTTTAATAAGTTATCTCAATATTCCCACAGATTTGAAGTGTCAGTGGAAATTTAGAGAGGTTGTTTGAAGGGGTGATTATTAAATAAGAATGACATGACAATTATGGAACATTCTGACGTCACAATTGTATTATCATAGTATCAAGAAAACCAAAATAAAAAGACCTATTAGGTCCCATCTAGTCCATCTCTACAGACCCAATGCAGAATTGCTTCCTGCAATACAATTTTCAAGATTACAATAATAATTAATTGAGAATGTTAGTTTTTTAATTTGTCAGGTAGCTGTGGATTTGGGACACAACAGGTGTCCATACACAGACACACACAAGGGCAGTATACGCCCAAGATCTCAGAAATTCTATAGCTCATAGCCGCTTCTGAGAGTAGATCAAGTACATACCCTTTTCCTTCCCACATTTAGAGATTTATATTTAACCAGAAAAGTTTAGCTGCAGCAACCAAGCTACAAAGGATTGCATGGGCTTGACAGAAAGGTTTGCCTTTTAGTAAAAAAGCTTAGTACAGCATCAGTTTAATGTTCCAAAGATATTTAGTCAGGGGACAATATCCTGCTTGGCAGGTAAACACATTTGAGGATCAAATAGGCATTTTTCATCTCAAAAATATTATGATCCTAAGACTGTTTTGGTAAGAATGCATTACTCATATATTCCATGCAACATCCCAAAGAGGGACTAAACCCTCCCCCCCACAGGACAACTTCACAGAATATAATGTCTCCATTTAGTGCACTCTCTGCCCACACCATTAACCCAGGAGTGGCCAACCTGAGCCTGAGAAGGAGACATTGCCAAAGAGCCACAGTAATACATCAGCAACCCCCCCCCCCCACTCAGCTCCCCCACCCCAAACCCTCCCGCTCACCTGATCATCCCTCCCCCTCACCTCCCGATCAGCTGTTCCCTGGCATGCAGGAGGCTCTGGGAGGGGAGGAGGAGGAGTGAGGGCAGCCAGGCAGGCTCAGGGCAGGAGGCAAGGCCAGTTGAGCAGTGAGCACCCCCTGGCACATTGGAAAGTTGGCGCCTGTAGCTCCAGCCCCGGAGACGGTGCTTATACAAGGAGCCGCATCTTAACTTCTGAAGAGCTGCATGTGACTCTGGAGCCACAGGTTGGCCACCCCTACCAGGAGAGCACCAATTTCAAAGAAACTCAATGCGGCTATTTAAAATGCATATAATTAGGAACTGTAACGAGCATTCATAATCTGTTAATATGTTCACTTCCACTGTAGTCATGCAACAAGTGCATGGGACCACAGCCAACCTGACTACTGGGAACAAATAAACTCAGTGATTTATCCCAAAGCATGCTGCAGACCCTGGACTAACACCAGAACCTCCTCCTATCCTTCCCCTCTTCCCCCACAGAAACCTCTGCCCCAGAGCATTACCCGGTCCTTCATCCTCCAGCTCTGGGCCAGAGACTTGGAGCCCTCGATCTTCTCACAGTGACGCTTCTTCATGAAGGCCAGAGGCAAGTTCCAGTCTGTCAGGTCTGCCTCATCCTCCTCCCCGAGCCCCAGGAGGGGGGACTGCAGCATCTCAGACTCCATCGGGGGAGAAGGGGGCCAGGCAGCACGTGCTCAGCAATCTCCAGCCCAGCACACACTGGGAGAGGAAGGGGCCGGTGGGGTCCCGATCCCAGGAGGGGCTCTGAGAGGGGCTCTGAGAGGGGGCGTGTCCCTTTCCCCGGTGCAGGGGCGGGGGACAGCGGGCCCCGTCCCAGGTGTCTGCTGGGGGGCTCCGCGCCGGCGAGTCTCCTGCTCGGGGCGCCCGCAGACAGCAGCCCCGGCCGGGCTCTCCTCGGCCCCGGCCGGGCTGAGGTGTCGCTAGAAGCACTCGGGGGGACCGGGCCTCTAGCCCCGCGGGCAATGCACGCTCCCCGGCTGCTGCGGCGGGCGCCGAGCTCGGCCCATCGTGCCCTCCCCCGGCTCCTCCTCACACACACCGGCCCCTAGCGGCTGGGCTGGCTTCGGCCCCCGTGGGAGGGGAACCGTCCTGCAGCGCCGGAGAATTAAACTCCCCTCAGCACCACACCAAGGAGGCGGCCATATTGCTACGGCCCACAATGCACCGCGGGGACGGGCCGCCGCGTGAGACAAACCAGGCCGGCCGCGTTCGGGATCGCAACCACAGGGAGAGGAGGGGCAGGGGCTGGGTTACCAGAGCATCCTCTCAGCCTGCTGGCGCTGCCCAATCCCTGGTGTGGGAGTGTCACGGGTGATCCCTCCCAAGACTCCCCCAAAACATCCTCTCAGCTCCCCAAGCCCCGCAGCACCCCTAAATTTCCCGGAACACCACCCCCAAAACACTACAAACTCCCCACTGCACCCCCAAAATACCCCAGCCTTCTGCAAAACTCCCCAGAGCCCCCAATTTCCCCAAAATCCCACACCGTGCCCCCAAATCCCCACAGGACCCCCCAAAACACCCTCCAGCACCCCTGAAACACTCCCAAACTCCCCACCGCACCCCCAAAGACCCCATACTCCCCAAACTCTCCACAGCCCCCAAAACACCCCACAGCACTCCAAAACACAATACACCCTACTATTCCAAAAGCAATTTCCAAGTCCCCAAACTCCCCTCAGCATCTCCAAAACACTCCAAACTCCCATCACACTCCCCCAAATACCCCAAACTCCCCATAGCACCCTCCAAATTGCTCCAAACTCCTAATTGCAGCCCCAAAAACATCCCAAACTCCTCACTGCTCCCCCCCAAAAAACATTCAAAATTCATTACATCAGCTCCAATAGCCCCTCTCCCTACAACAGACTTCCAAACTCCCTTAAATGCCCCCAAAGACTGCCCAACAAAATTTCCACAGCACCCAAAACAGCCTCCAATCACCCCAAAACTCTTAACATGCCCCCAAATTTCCCCAGAACCTCCAAAACCTTGCTTCAACACCCACC